ATCTTTGAACCTTAAGCAGCAGGATATTTTTGATGCAATACAAATAATATCCTAAGAGAGAAGAAATATTGAAGCCTTAAACAAGGTTGTTTTCTTTGCAATGATGTGAAAGAATTACAGTGACCCAAAGATCTTGAGTTACAACCACATCTGATGGAAAATAAGAATTAAAAATTCCATTTTTTAAAAACAAAAAGAAGATTGAATTACATGTGTCTACTGTGTTTACAAGATCAATATCATCCAAGCTATTGATTAGTTTCCATAACTTCTTTCAAGTTATCGATTAGTCTCCATAACTTCTTTCCATTTTTCCATGCACATCTACATGGATATATACATATTTTTACTTATTATTCCCAATTCACCCTCCGGTAAACTAGTACGATTTTTTACCACTTGGATCAACAAAAACCCAAGGAGCGGAGTTCCTGAACGAAAAGCCCCATGCCCTTGCTTAACCTAACAACTAACATAGCATCCAAGGGATGTTTGCGGTCTACATATTAAAAAGAACCGTACGCCACATACGGACCATGCTGCATCAGACGCAGGACAACCCAGACAGCATACAAGAACCAACGGAAAAGAATCAAGAATCCCAAAGATCTGAGCAAGAAAGCAAGAAACGTCCGTGGGAACCCTAGAAGCTGAAAGAATTGTAAATAACAAACGAAAGGGAGGGCGATCGGAGACGATTACCCATCTCTTCGGGCGTGGAGAAGTTCCGGCGGCCGGTGGGCTTGGCCTTGAACCTGCCCCTCCCCATGCTATACCGCGATCGAGGTCAAGAAGCGGGGGAAGCGAGAGAGGTATGGCTTCTTAGGTTCGCTCGCGGTCGCGTCTACTCTCGCCCAAACCCTAGAAGCCTCTCCGCCCACCTCGGCCTCTCCTTTCTACCCTATCCTTCGTCGAGTGGGTATTACTGGAAACTGTTCACCGAGGGGGCTTAAACCGGTGTATCGAGCCCTCCTCACATACACCGTTATGTTGGATATTTACATGCGCGATTTGCCCCAAAAAAAGATACTTACATTCAAACATTACCTCAGTATTCCTCATGTTTTTTTTTTCTTCAAATAGTACCGTATTTAAATTATTGATATCATTTACAAAAGCCATATTAAATATTTTTCGTCTGTTATAATATTTTTAGCCTGTTCTAATATTTTGACCACTTAAAAATATTATAAATAATTTAAATGGACTCCTATCTTAACAAGTCTAAAAATATAATAGTATAGTATCTTTTAATGCCTCAATAAAATATTTTTTTAATAATATATAATATTTTAATACCTCAATAAAATACAGTTAACGAGCCAAATATAAATATACTGTTTGGAAAAAAGTAAAAGAGGGGTATCTTTTGAAAATAATTTATGACTGAATTTTTTTAAGGGTATTTTAGATATTTTCAAAATTAAATATTCTGTTGGAAAAAAGTAAAAGAGGGGTATCTTTTGAAAAAAAAAAATCTAATACATAATTTTTAAAAAATAATCCAATTTAAATAATAAAACATATATATATATATAACAATTAGATTACAAATGTAACAATTTGTTTTTTGAATTTAGGAACAAATAGAATATTCTATTTCCAAAAAAAATATTTTTTTAGAATTTTAATTTTTTTATAATTAAATTATAAAATATAAATGGTTGGTCTTCAATTTGCACACATAAAAGTGTTAGGATCGAGAGCACTAAGAGGGGGGGGAGGTGAATTAGTGCAGCAGAAATCTTTTAGCGATTAAAAACAAAAGCTGCGTTCGTTCGATAAAAATCAGTTTTGAAGCAAAAGCCGAATCAAAGATAACTTATGACTAATTGCAGTTTACGTCTAAACGTAGTTTACGTCTAAACACAATTTGCGTTTAAATGCAGTTTGCGTCTAAATGCAGTTTTACGTCTAAACGCAGATTTACGTCTAACTGTAGATTTACGTCTAACCGCAGATTTACGTCTAAACGCAGATTTACGTCCAAACTCAGTTTTACGTCTAAAACGTAGTTTTACGTTTAAACGTAGTTTACGTCTAAACGCAGTTTTACGTCTAAAGGCAGATTTACGTCTAAACGCAGATTTACGTCTAAACGCAGATTTACGTCTAAACGCAGTTTACGTCTAAACACAGTTTACGTCTAAACGCAGTTTGCGTCTAAACGCAGTTGGCGTCTAAGCGCAGATGACAGTTTGCAGTTATAAATGGAATCAAGACGTAAACGTAAACTGCACAGAAACTCGTTCGTAAAAGCACAGAAGACAGTTTGCAGTTATAAATGGAATCAAGACGTAAACGTAAACTGCACAGAAACTCGTTCGTAAAAGCGCAGAGAGCAGTGGCTATGTAGGAGGTTTACAGTAATGATAAAGTGCTCAAAGTAAACGCAAACCAGAGATTTAGAGTGGTTCGGTTAGTCTTGACCTACTCCACTTTTGGCTTCCTCCACCGGCGAGGTCACTGACGTCAACTAGGGGCCTTCCTTCAATAGGCGAAGGCCAACTGCCCTTTTACAGTTTCTCTCCTTTTGACTGGCTCAGGAGACAACCCTTACAGATCCTTTCTCTCCTCTCTTTACAACTCAAGACTTTGAAGAACAAAGAAGAGGAGAACTTTAGGACTTTACACACATTTGAGCTCTTAGAGTCACTGAAAAGATCAAGAATTCGGTATGGATCTGTATCTTTTCAGTGCTGAATGGGTGGGGTATTTATAGGCCCCAGCCCAGTTCAAATTTGGAGCTCAAAACGATCAAATCCCGAAATTCCGGGATCAGGCGGTTGCACCTCTTGACTGGAGAGGTTGCACCGCCTGGCAGAGCTCGAAGACTGAGCCCAGGCGGTGCCACCTCTTGACTGAGG